ATTTAACAGTTCCCTTCATCTTGACAGAAACAAACAAAGACCTTAGACATTGTATGATTAAAGGGAGAATGATCTTAATCAGCCGGCTGATTAGCTGGAAAAACAGCCTACTCGTTGTCAGTTTGGTTCCTAGTTTCAACATGGTGTCGGTCCTTGCGTGCCAGCTGTTGGTAAGCGTCATAAATACGTCACGAATAATAAGTGTGTAAACTAAGAAAGTTGTAGAGAGTTAGATGTAGCTACTTTCATGTGAGACTTTCCCTGAGCAAAGACATCTCCCACGTCGTCCTGATGACGCAATAACTGCTCCCTGGAATATAGTTGGAGTGCAATTCAAATGTGCATCATATATATATATATATATATATATATATATCGCTTGGACGACATAAGTGTCTCAAACCAGTAAACGCGACCAGAACCTCATAGATGCATGCATTCATTTCATCTGCCACGCTGCAATAGAAATTTAGCTAATTTCCTAATAAGTGAAACGGTCTACAGCTTCGTGTGCCTCTTTGTATTGAACGTGGCGTGTTCAGTAACTGGATATCCAGTAGTACGACCTTACACACTCTGGGCGCAAAGCGTGTGCCAAAGGACGAGAGAGCGGGCCCGTTCATCCAAAATATCTGCGCTTTCCTCTCTTCGAAAATGGGGAAAGTGTTGGTATATTCCAGATCATCGGGATTTCGTCTGAAAACCATGGTTTTGAAAACCGTCCAGAGTTCGTCTCATTATCCCGCCGATCACGAAATAGTCCAATAATGGAAAAAGTGCTCTTTTTGGGCGCTTTGTGGAAGCGCTCCGTATACTGTCACGTGCCCACATAACTTAGTATCCTGAAAATATTCTGGAGCACTCCTTGCTGAGCAAGATCAGCTGAGTCCAACGCGCCTTGAAAATCCAGGAGCACTGAAACTTCGGGTCGTTTATAAGTTGTTCTGGCTTCCGACGGAATGTGAACATATGGACAAAGTAAACACCTACCAAGCCAGAATCCCGCTTGCTGATTTCACATCAATGTTTCACGGGCGAGATGGGGCAAGATGGCCGAAGTGGTTAGAGCGCGGGCGGATAACCTGAAGGTCCGCGGTTCGAATCCGACCTCCGCCACTCGACTTCCCCTGTCTAGGCTTGGGCAACCTGGCAGTATCCCAGCCCTCGTGCTTCCTTCCTTCGGGCTACCGTACGGCGACCAAGGGCAAGCGACGCGAAAGGTGTGAGTCAAGCCGATCCCTCTGCAATTGTCACGTTCAATACGGGTCCTCTTTTGAGAAAGCGCACAGATACCGGTTCTCTGCAGCAGTGTACGCCACTTATCCATTCCAAAATGGAGGTGAATGGATCAGACTGAGGGCGTCACCTGCATTCTTGAACAATATGGAAAATCACACGGACTAGGAGCTCCGTGTCGCTTAGGGGAACACATGCAGTCATAAACCTCCAAGGCCATAGGAGGTTTCAGGTTCACCGTCCAGGGTTCCAATGCAGTTCGATAAACTGAATGATTAGCAACAGGTGGCCACGAAAACTGTTCTTCACAATGCTGATCTTAGCGCTTCAGTCGTCTTTCTTAAATGAAGATAGCCGCACCTCTTTGATCCTTGATCGTATTGTCAACCGGTACTTTCTGGGAACCGGTCGCACGGATCAACCGAAAAATCTACGGTCATTCCCGGCATCCCTTGCCTTCTGGCTTCCAACCACTCTAAATTGGTTGCTACATTTCGTTCATCGTTACTTAGCTTCGTGGGGTTCTTGACGGTCGAACTTCCACCCATTGCACAGTAGAAAATGAACGCGAATATCCTATGTACAAGTGGAACGTACCTGCCAGGCGATCGCAATTTTAGAAATTTCACGGCCAGATAAGCCCTCTGTTCGGCGTGCAACATCTGCGCATTCGGTGGCGTATTCAACATTGTCAGCCAGTCGGATTCGTTGTCGCTTGTCCAACGAGGGTTGCAGAAGATATAAGTCAAAATAATGCCTAACCAATCGTTCCCGCTCTTCCAGGCCAGGTAGATCAAATTGGACAATTTCGTCCATCCGATCATTGATTGCCCAGTCAAACTGTTCGGGCTGGTTACTGGCCAGAACCAACATGAATCTAGAGTAAGGAAAGACACGGTTATTAAGAAATAGGCATCAGCACATGATTAGATTAGCACACAAGGGTACAGAAACCTCAAGATCCTGTCTGTGGCACCCTTACATATGGTTACGTCTTTGCAAGGTTGACGGAATCGATTTGTACGTAAGAGGCCAGCTCACTATTCGTATCTCCCTCACTTTGGTGAAAGAGACTTGAATGTACTATGGGTGGGGGAACGGCGGTTCGCTTGCCAATCTGAAATCCATCTGAGGTTTCCCAGTACGTGAAACAAGTACTGGCCACAGTTAACGTCTGGCTACGGTTAAACGGGCACAGATCATTGTGCTGGGGAAACTAGCCAGTCAAGTGAACAGTGCTGCCATAGTTGGTGACGTACTTATTTTGTACTTCTATCTCAGTAAGGTGTGAGTAGACCCACGTGAAACAGGTTATAGTCCGTAAAAATCCGTTAAAAACAGGGGTGTTGTTTAGTTTCCGTAAGAAACAATGATTATCTCAGCAAAGATCGATCATGGGACCTGACCATGTGGTCCTCTCCAAGCGATAATGATTCGAATATCTCGTCTGTAGGAAACCGAGTAGTCCTTGAGTCAGAAAATAATTGATTTTGTAAGAATCTGTCGCCTGTATGTGCTTCACAGTACTTTCTGTTTAGTAGAACCAGCCTGAAAAATGGGATACTAGCGATGTCTCTCTGAAGTTGAGACTCCTTGAAAGGAACTCCGAAGAGACCACAGCTATGTTGGCTCCATAAGGACTTAGCTTAATTTTCGATTTAGAGTGGGGCAGCCACAAGCTATTGGCGTCAAGGTTGTAGTAGCAGGCTAATGAGAGGTCTGGAATGGTAACCTGCGATTTCAGATGTGAAATACGCATTTTTCTTCAGAAAACGAGCAACAATCCTTGTGGTTCCGTTATTTTTCCACAACAGTGCTTTCAACATACAGCGTCCCGTGAAGCTTTTTCAACCGGGCCAAACGATCTGCGTTTTACTTCAGAGAGTTAGAAATAGCTCGTTCCCCATGACGTGTTCACCTAAGGTGGGTCGTCATAATTGGAGTACCATCCAGACAATTGAGCTTTCATCGAGAGATGCAGACCGTAGATCATTTCACACGCTCTTAGAGCTGTTTGGAAAAACTGAGCCGACCAAGGTTGATACAAACCCCAGAGTACAACTCATCATTCGCTAAAATACATAGAAGCCATGCGACCACCCATTTGGACAGTAAATTGATACGTCAAACTCGCCATTTAGTACCATGAGTATCTACTGGAGGTAAAAAACATTAGTAAACTTAGCATTCGAACATCCTGGTTCGCCACGGCGAGAGAGGAATCTATTGCCACGCAAAGCAGTTGTCGCATTTCGTGACTTCTAAAAATAAGTGGTTCACGGTGGGTAGTAGAAGAGCTAAAGTTCCGGGAAACGGACATTGCACAATCACGAAGGGAAACATTCTGCTTCCCGAAATGGAAAGTTCACCTACTAAGCAAGACCAGAACAAAAGTGCTTTGTGCAAATGACCAAAATTGACCTACGATTGTCTCACTATTCTATGACATCAGTGGGTTTTTCTGGCTACTGCTTTGAGGGGCTGATGGACTGCCTGGCTGACGTTGGATAAGCCATACAGTTTACTGAACCATCACAAATATTCACAAAAAAAGTTCACTGCCATCATTCTGTGATACCGGTTGAAGTGGTCCATTATAACTCTAAATTTATCGAATTCGAAAAAACGGCAATAAAGATAGACTTCATATGGTCGTCTTGGTTGACGTGACGCCGGCAAATCCATTGTGGACAAAGCGTCAAGAATTGATGAGCACGGTGAATACTTGTTAACATGTACATTGGACGCAGACGTGCAGGTGCAACGATTATTTATTCGGATAAAACTAGGCAAAATTGGATTTGCTTATTACGAGAACAAGGTACTGGATACCGTTCGGCTGTAGCAACCTTTCGGTGCTCAACTGCCATGTCACCAGAATGAGGCACAAGAGCTGGGATACTGTCAGGCCGCCCAAGCCTAGACAGAAGAAGCCGAGAAACAGAGGTCGGGTTCGAACCACGGACCTGCCGGGCAGTAAATTTGCGCTCTGACCACTTGAGCCATCTCACCCCCATTCTTATCTGCCGCTCACTTCAGGGGAGAAACACCATCGCCGTGGGAACACAGGCATCCCCGGAAGGTGAACTCCTGTGTCAAGGATATCCCGTCATATCCTTCAGAAACCGATTCACCTACGCTCTTTGAAAAGAACAGGTGCGAAAAATCACAAGCGTCCGTGGGTTTTTCGCCACAGCAATTATGACAAGCGATGTGCTAAAACGGCATCACCGAGATGGTGTGCAATATCTTTGAACATTAGGAGGATGCGCATAGGGCTTGCATTATTAGTATCATGAATGACCACGTTATGGTCGACTGTCGCAGTTGGGTAGTGGAAGCTAATTACCGGATAGCTTTTGTTACGCCTGCAGCACAGTTGAATGATCAAATGGGCAGTTAGTTAGCCCTGGGAATCGAAAGGCAACCAACTTACTTTTTTGACTGTTCACCGGTTCGATAGAGAAACGCGTTCAGTGTTGCTCGCAGTCCTTCGCTTATTCTCTCCTGTTCGCGTTTACGCAAAAAAGCATCTGCTTCGTCCACAAATAGCAGTACTCTGACAGCAGGAATGGAGTAAAATAATGGGTAAGTCAAAACGCAATTTGAGAAAACATCCATTTCTGAGGTAGAAATCTACATAACAAGCGTAAGAGGGCAGAATGTTTCTTTCTCAAGTCGGTTCACCGAGGAAGGTGGCGCCATGAAAGCAATGAATCATCAGCTAACTGCCTCAATAAACATAGATGGAGATCCTACAGACTCCGTTGAAATAAATCTCTACTGACTGTGGCAATTGAGAAACAACACCTGTTGTCGGATGAAAGGTGAAATACATCTAACGTGGTCCGTATTGGTCTGATTGGCCAGGGGCTGCCAGTTGTAGTGAGATTTATCCAGTCACAAGGCACAGCCGAAGTGCGTGTTGAAATAATGTGCCGGAGGCGAAATCGAATATCTGGGCTTGTTAATGTCAGAAAAATCATCAGGGACAGCAATGAATGACCAATGGAATCCAAAGACCTGTGACACAGCGAGATGAAATGGCAGATAGGACGGAAAACATGTAGTGCGCTCAGTTGGATCCATTCGAGAATTTGAAACTGGGTGTTCAAATGGATCTTAGATGAAGATAATCCATTTGTGATCTCTGTGATAAGATTGGCGTCAGTTACATGACTTGCGAAGAATATTCGAGCGGATACACATCCAGTGAACACAGAGTCAAGCAAGTAAAATTATACTATTCGATTCAGTTACCATAATATCTGCTCGGTTCAGCACTAGTCAAGCATAGTTTAGCGATAACCTGGCGAAAAGGGCATTAAGCCACAAATTGTGCACCAAGGAGCGAATTTTCCTGCCTGCTCAGGACTCCAAAACATACAATTACTATCTATTAATTTAATCCACATATGGTAAGGCCGATCCAACCGAAGACTTAGGGCTCAATGGATCGCACCCTATTAATGTGCACGTCATCAAAACGTTTAGTGGTAAAACTTGCTCGCTTAGAACATGCTGATACCGAACGGATGTGTTACACACATCACAAGGTGGGAATCTAAATAGATTGTCACGAAGGGTTCAGACATCTTGATTCGTCTGAATGCCCATGATTGTCACAGGTTGCAGAAGGCCTTAAGCCAAAAACATCACAGACGAGAGATTCAGCTGGGTTCCAGGTGAGTCTGTCATCAAAACCAAATTGGCATGCAAATAAGTGTATTCTGCTAATCCCCGATTATTGGTTATATAAAAGTGGACAACTGCTCCGCCTGGGTGAGTCTGCGCTGTAGGTTGTTTGTGTGTGAGAACAGATATCGATGACTGGAGTGAAAATGGACGAGTAGCAGTGGTCGAGGAAATCTGTTAACGTCACATGTTGCCAATGCGTCCTATTGTCCACTGCCTGCAAAAGGCATCTGTGGTATATGATTGCCTATTCTGTGTATGTCCACCCGATCAAGCGTTCAAGTGCAGAAACGTTTGCCTGTTCAAACAAACATGCCCCAAAAGAGTAGGGGCAACGTAGCCACCTCGGGTGTTAGATGCTTGAAACTCAAATCTCCGCACGGACAAGGAAGTGCATTATTGATGGGGCCGTGCAAAAACCGGAACCAAAGTTCAGGGTTGACCGAATCTCCACACTCCGTCGCCGCCCACAATTCTACTATTCCTGGATTTCCAAGGTGTATTCGACTCTGTTGACCGGTCTGTTCTCCTTGACACACCTGTCCACCGAGGAATGCCCCGAAAGTTTATGAGAGTATACGAAAAGCTCTGGAAAAGCTTCCTTGCACAAAGCGGTGTGCATCAGACATACCAACTCTCTCAGTCCCTATTTAACTTCGTGATCGATGAAATCGTGAGGCGAACGCTGGAAGGGCTCCAAAAGCCCGGCGTTCAAGTAGCCTGTGACGAAAACCTTGTCTATCTGGAATATGAAGACCATATCTTTCTCGTCTCCGAAGAGAAGCAGGCGCAGGTGTCTTTGGATGAGATGACCAAAATCATCTCGTCATTTCGTATGTACTTTGCATCCACAAAGTGCAAGGTTATGCTCCTGGAAATGCAGTCATTGAACACGCCACTTACAATCCCGGGGGACGCACTGGAAGTTGTGGAGCGTCTTACGTATCTTGGAAATTGTATTAATTCTGATTGTAGTGTGACAGATGAGGTCAATGGACGGATCTGCAATGTCCAGGTCGCGTTTGCTAATTTGAGAGTGGTGCATCCCTGAATCTAAGGGAATGTGTGTATCAGGCTACAGTGCTGGCTGCTATGTTGCACGGCTGAGACTTGGGCTGTTCGAGCAGCGCAACTGAGATGTCTTCAAGTGTTTGAAAATCGTTGTCTCAGGACCATAGCCCGTGTGGGTCGGTGTCAGCGAATCCGTAACGAGGCACTTAGAAAGTGAGTTTTCGGCTGAAGTGTCCAGCACTAGAAGCTGTGTTGGCTGGGCCATGTAGTGCACATGGCGGACCATCGTTCGCCAAAGAGTGCTATTTTCCGTGCCCAATTCAGAGTAACCGAGGCAGGGGGTGGTCAGCACTTGACCTGGCAGAAGGGCGTTGTAGTAACGGTATTTTCCTCAGCTTACTTTTTGATCTAAGCCTCTCAAGTTACCGTTCACGTCAAAACAACCACCAAAGGTGCATAACATATAGTAACGCCCAAAATCGAGTTGAAGACACTTGCACAAAGCTTCATATATTTTCTGGAAATTGGCGCCTTCTGGATGCGCCATTGGCAACTAGCATTCTGTCAATTTTGGGTCATGATTGGCCGTTGGGTCCAGACATTCGACCACTCAGAACTCGGCTTGATGCCGGATCAACAAGCATCCCGAACTTTTGGCCAATGTTGCGCGAGATAGGCTTTCCGGCCGTAGCAGCAACTGACTGCGAGCGGTCAAGCGGGATCTGTCTGGAATTCCGCCTAACAGGTGTGAAAGATATTACAAAACTTTCGGGCGTCGATTACATCTTGCGGTCAAGCGGGACAGACATCTGGAAAGCGAATAAACCGGCCGGAAAACATAGAACATTTTCTTTGGCGACAGTGAACAGCTACATCAAGCGTTTGTTACCAAAAACCAGTTACGTTAGCGGTCACTTGTGAATACACAAGTGACCACTGCAGGCAGCGGCAATCCGCACAACGAACTGCAAAATCTCTCCCCAGATAAAGCCACTGAATCTGAAGATGTCTGTCTTGGTTTTAAAGTACTGTACCACTGAACTTTCTGTTCGCGTCTGTCATTTTCTCAGTCAGAGTCACATCGTAGAAGAATGGAAAACTTCCACAAGAGTACACCTACTAAAGTCTTCTTGTTGTACTACAAAATACGCGCGACTTGGCAGAAGGATGAGGTTGCGAGGAGTTTAGATGTTGTTAGTGAGGTCTGCCTTTTAGGGTGGGCACCACCACGCTTGGCAGATGTTAAAGGAAACGGCGGCTAACTGGTGTCAGCAGTTGTTATTGTTGTCAGTTTCCTTCCAGACTGCGCATTCTAAGCTGTGGGCACTTTAGAATGCCTACCAGTTCTTGGTCTCAAAAGATTCCCAGCAATTTCAATCCAGGCAATTGCAGCGAGATTGTGTTTACACATCAGTGTGGCTTTAACCATTGCTCTCTCCAACAATCAGGGGTTGCTCCTCAGCATAAATAAAGTATATGGAACGGCTCGTAGTCAAGTTATCCTCGGATCGGTTACGGCATGATTACGTGCGAAAAGTATTTTCGAAGATCCAGCGACTGAGATTTTTTCATCAGACGGCTGTCTGTTCTACCCATTTCTCTTTCATGATTGCTACTGCGTTGCCTTGTCTTGGACGACAGAGTCAGCGCTCAAATCAACGTGGAGATGATGCTGTTTCTCCAAAAGATCTTACTATTCCCATATCCTCGCTGTGAAGGGAGTATGGAATCAATTTCGTCTAAGTAATTTGTAGTACGACCCCTCGGTGCTGCCTAAATGACACCACCCTAGTCTAACCGCTACTTAATCATTGTTCCAGTAAAACGTAATTGCAGATGGCGTAACCAATGAGATGGGTTTTAACAGAACACAAACTGTAATGTCTTTAATAAACAAAAATTCCAAAAGGAATATGAAAAACGGGCCGTAAGCGTCAATTACACTCATAAATAAGGATGGAGTGTATATGGCAACGCCTGCGCGCTACACGCTAACTAACGCCCATCAAATTTATACGCATGGGCAACCAGAAGAAACTGACAAAAATAATGCGAACTTACCCCTTTTTACTGGTACTGGCCCAATCAAAGACTTTGTGAATGGCAGTTACGCCCTCGTTACCCATGGGAGCGATATCACCACCAGTAAGAATCGCGTAATCCATACCGGAGTGCCTGGCCAGACTCTGTGAAGAGGGACAAATCGAGTAAACAATCGGGTCACATCTCAAATCAACCTTGTTCTTATGTTGTTAATGAAAAGAGTAGAAGGCATCAGTAGCGAAAAAGAAAAAAGATATCCTGACAATGCACAACTATGTCCACGTAGGTCTAAAAACCGTAGAACTACGCTACCTGATTAAGTGCGAACTTGTCAGAGAACTTTTTCTCCTGGTCATGAATTTTGATCCACCGAGAAGATACACCTGCGACAAACTTATCGGTCTGTCTCATTCAACATTCAACACCACTGATCGGAGGTGATACTGAAAAAGCTGCGCTTCATCACGGTGCGACAGCTTGTGTTTTTCGATAAGTTCATTAGGTTATATGGCGTAGCACACACGAATTCTCTGCCACCATGTTCCTCAACGGATAGGTGAGTATATCGCACAGGCTAGTAGTGCATTCTTGAATGAGAGTTGAATAATGCCGAGGAAACTAGCAATACCACACTCTGATTAACCTCTATGAAAGAAAGTTGTGCAACCGTTTATGCGCTACGAGATGCAACACTGACGGAAAGCAATATCCACCAGCTAAAGTATCGAAGCTGGAGGTGGGCTCGTAAACTTTAGAAAACGTAAGTCCGATGAAGCTCCAAAAACAAACATTATATACGGCAGCGCTGATTTTGCCTGCTACGCTTCACTCTCTCAGGCATACGAATAGATAAGCCGAGTCCGTCATACTTTTGGATAACTGTCTGTTCGTAGCGTCCTGACAGTTGCCCATTGAGTCGCATTCTTGAGTTAACAGCCCTGAAAGACATCTTTGATTCTCATACTAACTTGAGATGATATTTTTGGGTCAGTTAATTGAGGAAGAGCACCCTCGAGTGAATCCCTTTTCCAGTCCAAGCAACCGAGAAAGAACATTTGCTTCCTCTCAATAAAATTAATATAAACTGATTGGAAAGTAGACGCACAAGGCGCCATTATGGTAATGCATTTCAAAACAGTGCACAGTCACAGTTTTCTCTTCAAATGACACCCTGTGGGTTCAGAGGTATAGAGATTGCGTTGTGTATGAGCTTGAAGATGTTCAGTTTGACCAAATGGCGACTATGTGTAGTTTGCCTGGTTTGGTCTACCAAAGTCCGTAACCAGAAACCAAAAGCGGCGCATGCTCATCATATCTCCAAATTAATAAAAAAAACAGGTGAACCCCGGAAAGCAGCCAGCGTATAAAGGCCCTAGCCGGGGCAGACTCCTCGCTGTTGCCTTACTACTGATTTATGAATGAGTAGCCCGTATTCTACTGATTAACAAAGTCGCGATTGATGAAGTGGTTATTTGCTTCGTCGCTGTCTTGATAATATCCTGTTTGAATTATGGATCCACGTATCACAATGGTCTTAAACCCACAGACGACTCCCTTCTATCGCAATAGAGGATTCGGATGGTTTATTAGGAGCTCGCTGAGAGATTGTCATGGGAAAATCCCGCGTGGCCCTGTACAAAGAATGTATTCTTGAGTCAATGAATATATGGGATGTACGATACTATGTCAGTTGTCCTCTTGTCCGTCAAGGTTGACAGTTGGTTCGTAGTCGCTCGAGGAGAAACTGTCGGCAAATAGTTTTTTCGGGGTGATAGCTTCGGCCACTGACCAATCAGTCGGTTTGACGAATTTGAACTAAATGTGTTTCTTGGTTTGGTCGGCTGCCGAATTATTCAGATAATCCGGGTACTTATGAATAGTGAAATCAATCTCACCTGCATACTCATCATCTGATGATTACGAGGTCGTCTGAATACCTCTCAACGACTAACACTTTGGGAAACAGGCTGTGGAGGAAGTAAAGTACGATAGTATTCATCCAGGCTTATATTAATGCTCACATTGTCCTACACCCAGATTGCGTCCAATTACTCGGTCTGTCGGGACTACGAGCATCCAGAACCGTGGGACAAATTCTGTTCGTACAAGGTTCCTCAAACAGTATGGACAGGTACGTTGCTCCGATGGTTAATGTGACCGCCTCTCAAGAAAATAAGGCAGCCCCTATTGAGGGGTTCTTGCTAACCAGATGGTCATATCTAAAATTGCTGAATGGTAGCTGTTTTCATTTATTTTCGGATCCTCCACTAAGACACAGGACATTGGTGTCTGTTCTCAGGTAGTCCAGTGAAGTAAAAGTGAGGTTAGTCTACGGTGTTCGCGACGACACTAACGAATTTAACACGCGAAGGCAGCCTAACGTGAAAGGAAAGCTGGAAAGAAGTCCGAATTCTCGAGAAACACACTCATTTGCAAATCAATTTGGTTTTTACGAGAGACTCAAATGAATCTTTCGTTTACGATATTCTACAACTTAATGTGCTGCACACAGGCCGCCTCATAATTCAGTTGACACGATATTCGGAATATCGCAGTATATTTTCATAAAGGAAACTACTCACAAGGTTGCTGAAGAGTTTTCAGCAACCTTGTGAGTAGTTTCCTTTATGAAAAGTCCGAGTTCTCCTGTTTGGTTATTATGATCATGATTGCGGACTCACTACAGCCGATAAGCACATGAGCTTTCCTTGACCTTGTTGGTGATTAATTGGTGTGACAGAAAGGTGAGGGTAGTAAGCTCGAATTCACGGATAAGGTATATGCGAACGTGAAAAGTTCAATTGCAAAGGCTCGTAGTATTACCATATCATCATCATCATCATCATCATCGACAGCATGACATCAGTGTTCAACACCAATGCTTCACTGCCGTACAACCATGACTTATTTGAAAGCCTTATTGTAAAGAAAAGAACAAAGGTGGACGGGGAAGGGACTTAGTGCTAGCTTAACACAATTATTCCGAGGTGCCTACACCTCCAAACATTCACTCAGGCAATCTGGATAGAAACTGACAACAAGAACGCCACTGACATCGGTTGGCAGCCATATCTTGTAGTGTCTCCAACCAGGCACCATGAATTGCACATACACAACACAAATAATGCCAGTATTACCATAGGAACACTTCCGAAGAACTTTCAGCAACCTTGTGAGTAGTTTCCATTGAGAGTATGACCGAGGTCTAACTAAGACCCTTTCGGTGGCTAGCTGCCAAGCTTGCTGGCAGAAGCACGGGGGCTGAGTTGTTGTCAGGTAGACCAAGCATAGACAAGAACGGTCAAGATGCCGGGGTAAGGTTCGATCTACGAACTTTCCAGTTCGCGCCTTAACCAACCAGCCACATCGAGCCCCGAAGAACGGCTATCTTTCTACAGTGTACTGAGCATCGTTTTTTTGTCAGCTGTGATCTGCCAAAGCAGTTCGATTGAGTACGAGTGATGAATGAGAATTAGGGGGCTCAGGCAATTCAGCGTGAACCAAAAGTTACTTTCGGATGAGATGAGTTAACTTCGCTGCCATTTTGATGAACCGGTTGCAGCCTATACCTCTGAACTCTTGATCGCTCAACTAGCCAGTGAACGAACCGACACGCTGGCGAAAAAAATTCGTCCAACATGCGTAAGCCCATCATTGTACGAACCGCCACCTGCGAAAATGAGGCGGCATAGAGTTCGTATGATACTGAGCTTAGAGTAAGATTTGCTATTCTGGAAAATACATCTCTCAGGATGCAAAACTTCGCAAATCTTCATAGGCTTCGAAAAACTGTTTGTGTATATCGCAGGGGAGGAGTAGATTTCTAATGAAGCGCGTGAACAATTTGTCTGAGCAGGCAATGGTAGGTAAGCAATAAGCTCAGATTTTAATCGTGACACGATATGCGGCAACTGACCACTAACCACGCAAACCACACCACATATTTACTGCTCTCCTAGATGAAGACTTCTTGGGTTGAGTTGCTCAGTACACCAGGGGGTAACTTTTGCTTGCCTAGCAGCTCTCGAAATTTGCAATTTGGCTTTATAAAAGAGCCAAACTGGAAGGCATGAAACCATGAATGACCTGACAACATAGATAGTTCGCATCAGACGATGCCACAGAAATAAAACACTTCCGGCTGTTAATGAAAAGATGGGACGAGGTTAAATAACGGATTAGCGGAAAGTTCAATACTATGGCCTACCTTGGCGAACATAGTCTTTCCGGTGCCTGGGGGACCCGCCATAAGCACATTACGATAGAAACCACTGTTCGCTTTTGTGTGTCGTGTTGCAATGGCAATCTTCCGTAGGTTAGCCTCCAATCCGGGCTGAAGACGGAAAGCAATATTAGCTTGTCATGGAAGAGTAAGTAACATATGTACGAAAAAGCACGCACATACGTTTGAAGATGGGTACCATCTCGAACTCGACAGTTTGGAGAGGTTTCGGAATAGAGGTAAAACCTGAAAACCTATTGGGTGTCATACAAGCCGTGAACACTATAACTGGAAAGGTGGAAAATGGTAATGTCAGCATTACTTAGGTGTTCACCATCGGCGTCTGAGCGCAACAGAAAAAAGCTTGATACACAGTTTGAGCTACTACTTTTGCATATCTGTTTTATCCCAACAAAAGCCTGAGGGAAATAACTTTATACGTTGTGGTTGAGAAACTCCAAGTCTGCGAGACTGAAAATATGGATCAGTTTATTGACTATAAGCCGTGCACCAGGGTAACAGTAGCCCCAAAAATTATAATCGATATCGACGACATCGGAGTGGAGAGGCACGGCAAATGATGATACGTGCAAATGAGATGGAAGAAAAGTTTGCAAGAGAGCAGTCGTCGGCTTAGATCGGAGTTGCTTGATTGCGAAGAAGCGATCTAATATGACAGACCTGCTCAAAGTGAGACCACTTTCACGGAGTTCAGGGAAGGCGCTCATGGAGGTTTTCGAGATGTTATAAAAAACACCCCTTCCTAGGATCCAGATGTTGTTCAGTGAGCGATTTTGCTGCCAAGTCAAACAAGGAACATAGCCACCCGCAAAATTGCAGGCCATGTGACGTGACGAGGTGCAAGCCAGCCAGTGCCAATGTTCGGAACCTGGTTAGCCTAGATGAAAAGTTCTCATATTGAGATCCGAATACTCGATACTTGATACTCGATCAGTGTCGAGTTTATCATGTAAAAACTTCAGCCCTCTTAGTACCAGTGCTTTGCCCCCCTTGTGGTGAATATTAGGGATCGTGACATAGTAAACTATGATAGAACATTCACACTTCACGCACTGATTTTAAGGAAATGTGTCTCGGATACTAAAACAGCGGGGACACCATGATTGGGGGCCTTCCAAGTCATTTTTTAGGTGATCCTCTTCGGTTCTGGGAAGACAATACATTCACAGTATTGGCTGCCAGGAAGTCTCACCGTTCGGGCAGAACATATTCTGTGTGATCGTGGTCATGCAAGCTAGTCGTACCGAAGCTAAAACACCTGGCATTCTGTCACCGCACAATTAGTTCTCAATCATTTTACATTTTCCGTATTCAAACATCAATAAAAAATGATTTTTTTAAGCTGATTGACAACGCTGACAGAGGATCGATGACTCGGAACAGCTGGCGTGGAACTTCTACTCGGTCCCAGAGCTGAACGTGCTCTGCTGGACTGGATTCCAGTGAATAATCGTCTTTACGCAGTTCGATTATCTACCTCGACGAAGCCCAACGGCACTCGGCATAAAAGTGGTGCCTGTTTTTAGTGTCGGCTTATGTCCCAACGGACTGCAGTTCTGACGCTGAGAAGGGTACTTTCTGACGAGAGTTATCCGGGCTCATTCATAAAGCAAGAAGTACTGACATTGTGATACTTTCGGGCAATAAGAATGCTCAAGTCGGTCGTCTGAGCTCCTCGGAATCACATTTGGGCGCTCGTTTCGGAGTCGATACTCGTCGCACAGATAACGAGAGCGACTCTTAGAATTGTGCTGACCATCAACTGCTCCTGGACAGTACGAACTTTCACCATTTACGCCGGCACCCAGTAATCTCGAGGTTATCAAATGCAAACCAACCGTGAACCCATTCGGGTCACGTGACCATCAGCCACCGGTGGAGAGTCACAATTCGAGACTGCCGTTCCTTCCGGGGCACACTTAAATCCGATCAGGTCATGGTGCCAGTCCCCTGAAAGTTCGATTTCCTTCAAACCTTCGCAAGTCAGCAAGAAACATACCAATCCAACATTTTCGGAGAACCACCATAGCTTGGCAGCATCGATCTGAGCAGGCTCAACTACTCTCTACAGTAAACCAACACTGTATTGATAGCGAGCACGTGGGTGAAGCAACGGTCAGTGAAACAAGTGAAAAAGATAGCTTATTGATTCACTCGCAGCAACGTCGACTGAAAAGATGGGCCGAACTTCCTGCAACACAGCCTGTGAAGATAGTGTATACTAGCGAATGGAATATAGATCTTGATCGCCCGTCAAAGAAATCAAATAGGAAACATCCTTACTGAAATCTGAGAAGGCACCAGGACCGGACGGATTGTATCCAGTCACGTTCAGAGAGGGCGAAGAACCCTTGGTGCCCCATCTAACAAAGCTCATTCGTGCGATATGGAGTGAAGAGAGTGTCTACAGAATGGGATGCATCGACAGTCATGTCTACCTTTAAGACGCTGCGCGAAATCCGCCGTGGTATCAGCCTGGTAGTTGTGGCACCGAAGGTGGTCTGGTCTTATCCTTCGAGGGTTGACTGAACACAGGACGAGGTAGATCCGTGAAAACCAAGCTGGGTTCCGTTCTGCAAGAGGATGAACCGATCACGTGTTCGCACTCCGAGAGATTGTGGAACAGCGACACTGCTTCCAGCAACCAGAAATAGCGGTCTTCCTTAGCTTGAAACCTGCCTTTGACTCAGCGGACCGTCAGACAATATGACAGTGTCTATAGATAAAAGGTATCCCCTGTAAATTCTTGACCTACTCTACGCTAGCTCCCGCAGACGTGTGAAGGTCTATGGAAAGCTCTCGCCTGAATTCACTACACCAAGTGGAGTCAGGTGAGGCTGTTCTCTTTTACCTTTGATGTTCAAACTCGTCATTGATACGATTATGGAACTCTCACTCCCAGCCTTCAATGTCTGGAACCTCGAAGTTGCTCAGTGGTTAAGGCGCGAACTTATGACCATAAGATCCGTGGTTTGAACCCAACCTCTGCATTTCGAGGACCCCGAGACCGGGCAGACCAATCGTTGAAGAAATCGTCAGAGAGGGTCAAGTCGTGGTCTCGGTGGTGCTCATGCATTCAAGCTGTTGCCTCCAATTCACAGCTTTCCCTCCCGATCTCCAAATGAAAATTTCACTGACGCCTGTATTTTTGCATCAAATATATCAGCTACCACTCATAACGCATAGCTACCTATCCCACTTCGTTTAATCATCGGCGAAGGAACCTGTGACACCTATAACTACTGTATGGTAAGTACGCGGTTTTTTTACAACTACTGATGAAGATGGTGTTCAGAGTCTATCCGGAAGTTCTAGGCCTGAGCTAGAAACAAGTGTGATCAGTCAGTATCCTGTGAGATGTGGGTTATTGAGAGATTATTTACTAAGTTACTGTTACTTCCTTGACCTAGTGGCGTACAGCTGAAAACCGTCGGAATCTACCAAAAAGTAAGAGATTCACTAACGTAACCATGCAAAATTGAATTCGATTTAACTCACCTGGAGGATAATACCCGTTAGAGGATCAGAAGGGCGAGAGAACATCCGCTTTGTTGTCTGAAACCAATGTGTTAACGAAGCTGATGTGATCCTACCAATATGGGATGCCGAACCGCATCGACAATATTCAACCGAGATGTATCACGAACAAGCGATGGTTTCCCTATTCGAGATTCAACAAGCCTTGCTATGGTACCAACCCCGTACTTTGCACCATAGATCCCACCAGCAAGGAGTGTAAGAGAACCAACAACAGTTGCGACTTTTTCGCGTTCTGAAATGAATGCGTTAAAGCCTGTTCCAAGAACAGATCCCGCGGTTGATATCGATTCCAGAATAGTCTGGCGGCGTTCCCTAGCTTCAACTCGTGCCTTTTCTAATCGGATCTCCCTATTTTCCCGTTCAACTTGCGCCTCCCCCCGAAGCTTGGCTTCAATTTGCTTCATTTCATTCTTATGTCTCAGTTCGGCCTCGTATTCGATGGTGCCTAAAGACATTATCTACAAGAGTAGAAGCGAAGGTTACTTCGTCTCATTGCTTCTTGTTTCTTGACGGACTCTTCTTGTTTCTTGAGGGCTTCATCCTGCATTCGATTCTGAAAAACAACCGCTTTATTAGACAGATTTGTTATTACTTGCAAAGCAAGCTGGTCTTCTTGACGTTTTCGAGCTAACATATCTTGATAATCTGCACGTTGTTTCTGGATCCTGGCTTCATCTTCCATTGTTTTGCGCCGTTCCTCTTGTTGCACCCTATACTGTTGTAATTTCATCTGTTCCATCGCCAACTCATATTCCTAGGGAGAATTTGATGACCATAACGTAAACTACCTTAAGTTTGGCCTGATATTCCATCTGTAAAGTGTCCTCATGCTTCTGGGACAGATCAAAGGCTTCCTTCGCGTGTTCTTCGAGAGTCAACAATCGAGAAATAGTTACACTCACTTGATGCTTCCAGCTCTTTGGCAGCCTTCGCAGCCCGTTCTAAAGCTGCAGAATCAAAGCGATATCTCGAAGTGGTATCTTCAGAAACATCCTGACCCTTGTTTGGAGGAGATGGTGGTGGTGGTGGTGGACCTCCGGACAAAGCAGGAGGAATGTCCGATGTAACTGGCTTTCCGTAGCCAAAAAGCCAGGACATTATCTGTATACAGAGTTGCTTCTTGGCGTTTCAAATGCAGCGCGTTAAGCAAGTGACTGAAACTGAGGAGATGACCGTGTGACAGGTGGAAATATCTCGGAGAGACTAGTGGCACAATCATAGAAAGAGTGAGGGAATGGAAGTTAAAAAAAACTAGGCATATCATAAGTTTGAATAAGAAAACTACACTCATTTTATGTTAAGATATCCTGGCGGTATGCAGACGTCCCATTAGGGAATAAGGATGCCGAAAATTCACAGCTTGGCTTGATACACATCTCCAGGTCCGAATCGGGACACTCAGATGAACTATTTTTTCGACTGCATGCTTCCCCCTCTCACGGACATAATGCTAAAACCGCCCGAAGTAAGGCATGTAGCTACATAGGGTGCGACTACTAGTTGTAGAGGGAAAATGTGTGTGGTGGTGTTCGATGTTTATGTTTCGTAAAAAGTAATGCCGTTTTTTTACATGAGTTTCCCGGATCACCGCACGAACAGTGTGATGGTCACCGGCAACCATGTAACCTGAATACCACGCGGGTGGCGATTGGATGTGCAAGGGCTAGAGAAGCAAACTGTAACAAACGGTAGACCTGACGGGGTGGGAGGATGAGAACGATGCTCTCCACAATGTCCCTGCTGTCTCGCAGTATGCAGTTGCTTGTGCGAAATCTAGATGTGTATCAAACAAGAACGTGTCGCGCTGCGGACAGCGCTCGCATACGAATTTGCATGTACACCTCGATTACTTTCCAGTGAAGCGCTGTTCATGCTAGGACGCCCCCGAATAAGCGACGCCGTCGACGCTGGCCCAGCCATCGCGGCCCGTAGCCTGGTGCTTCAACCACTTTCACATCACTTTCAGTGTTTGAAGGCAAAGTGAAAACTCTCATAGACTGGACTACTGTCAGTGGACACTCGAAATGAAGACTACCAATACTGGTACAATAAACCTACTGCGAGCGAAACCATCAACGATAAGGGAGTGACCATCTTGAACAAAGGAAAAAGCCTCAACTATTGGGCCAAATAGTTCGAACAAGAATTGTCATGGACACCAGCTATTACTCATCTGAAGCCAACAGTTGACGAAGAACTCTGGACGGTGAACGTGGAACCATCTATGGAATCGGAGGTTCACGACTGCATATGTTCTTCATACGTTTTCCTGAGTTGCGTAACGTGCGGACAAGTCGCTTGGCAACTGAAAGACTGACAGATCCGGATGTTAGACGAGCTTACCAGAATCGTCTTCTAGAGTCTCTTCCGAAATCTCCACCATCGGATGAGATTGGTACCCCTTTTCATAGTGCTGGGAATTTCGCCTGTGGCACGACCCAACCAGGCGTACCCAAGCACCGGTTATCAGACCGAACGGCGGCACTGCTTAAATCTCGGAGAAATATCCCAGCCAGTCCTGAACATAACCCGGTGCGAAGAATTATCAGACATCAAGTGAAACATGGGGTGCGAGCCGACCGTCAAGTATGGAGGACACAGAAAGCCAAGGAATGGAATGGACCTAGAAGCCCGGTAATGCCGGAAAATTGTTTAGGTTGATCCGTGCGACCGGTCCCCGGAAACCACCTGTGAGCGAAACCATCAAGCGCCAGAATGGAACGACTATCTCGAATGAAAAACGCCTCAACCGGAGGACTGAACACTTCAGACAACAACTGTCGTGGCCATCATTTGTCACTCATCTAGAGCCCACAGGTGGAGTAGAACCCTGGACCATTAAAGTGGAACCACCTACGGCCTCGGAGGTTTACGACTGCATATGTTCTCTCAAGTACCACTGAGCCCCTGGTGCGGATGACCTCCCACCCGCATTGTTCAAAGATGAGAGTGAAGTCCTCAGTCAGTGCTTGTCTCATCTGTTTGCTTGCATCTGGGAAAATGAGTCTGTCTCAGGCAACTGGGAATAATCGGCTTGGCTTCGTCGCTATTAGGACCTGCTCATCGATTCACGATGATAGTTGGAAGGTACGCCTGCTGTTCCGAAAACTTGGACCCGCAGAACAAAGAACCCACGTGACTTCCGTTTTGACGAAACAGTTCACACGCCTTCGCAAATATTCGGCCATCATCATCGTCATCGTCATCGACAGCATGACATCAGTGTTCTACACCGATGCTTCATTGCCGTACGGTTGCAGGAGGGCTGGGATACTACCAGGGCGCCCACATCTAAACAGGAGGACCATTAGGGTCATCAACCAAGGCCTTTGGTTCAAAAGCCTAACCGCAAGGTAGCGGTGTTTGGCGGGAAATGCAAATGTATAACCATTTCTACGGAACAAGTCGCCACATGTTCCAACCCCCAACCTGGAGGGCCAGGAGACTGTGTTCGTCAGACCTTTGACCATTGACCAACCTGGTATGAGAGACTGTGAGTGTCACAGGGACACTCCCTAGTATAGCTCAATGGACCGTTGAGGTGCGCAAACCGTCACACCACGATAAGGTCCAGTCTCTTCGTGACAAACACTTCGACCAGCAGATGTCAATTTTCAACATCCGTCATCGATGCCTGAAGCTGCTGAAAAGTGATGCGGACGACTTTCTCACTAATTCCGGCGTCGTGAACCGGGAATGCGAACGGTTCAAACTCGGATCGTTAATGGAAGATCAGTTCAAGTCGCTAATTTTCATATACGGTCTGCAATCCCCGGAGGATGCAGATATCCGCACCCGAATCCTCAGCCGCACCGAGCAGGACCCATCAATGACGCTGGGGACCATCACATCGGAATGTCAGAGATTGCTTAACCTGAAGCATGACACCGTAATGGTCTAACTTGGGGGATCATGGCGGTTCCGATGTTCATGCAATCCATCAAGCTACGCAACAGCCTGGCCCTGTTAATTCCGGCCCAACCAAATTGGGCTCACAGTATTCTGGTCCGAGGTGAAACAAAGGCCCAAAGAAGATACCACCTTCATAATGTTGGCACTGTGGAGTCTGGCACTTCGTCAGATTCTGTCCCTACAAGCAGCATCGGTCCGTGGGACACAAAGATGGGTATTGGCGGTCACGGATGCATAAGGCCTCTGGTGCTTCAAAGCCGTCATCAGTCGTCCGTACATAACCAAAATCGAACCCTGTTGGCTCCTCTCTCAGTTTGCTGGATACTTTCCAGATCAACACCCCAGTATCTCGCAATCACTGTCAGTGGTCACTCAGCACGTCTGCAGTTGGACACTGCGCCGGACATTGCCATCATTTCGGAGAAGCTTTGGCGCACGCTCGGGCAACCTCCGATCAGACAAGCAGCTCGAACTGCTACCAGTGCCTCAGGTGGAGAGCTAAAACTTTCCGTTGAGCTTTAACGTTGTGTATCTTTTCGGGGAACTACATTCGTGGGGTCGTGTTACGTAATGGCAGCTGAGTTGAACCTACTGGGTCTTGATTGGTTCGGTCGCTTGGGGTTAGCCGACATTCCACTCAGCGTCATTTGCAATACAGTTGTCTCCCAAGGTGCATCCAGATCATGCATCTGACTTTATCAAGCGACTTCCAGTTGTTTTCCAATCCGGTCTTGGTCAGTGTACTGCGACACAAGCAGTCCTCCACCTCCTGCTGGGTGCTCTGTCAGTCTTCCGTCCAAAGAGATCAATCCCGTACGCTTCCCTCCCACTGGTAGATACCGAACCTTAACGGCTGGAACAACAACGCGTTCTGTCCCCTGTATCCTACTTCTCCTGTGCAGCACCACTCGTCATGGCGAAGAAACCCAGCAGTGACATCCGCACATGTGCCGATTTCTCAACCGGCCAAAATACAGCTCTCCAACAGCACCACTATTTATTACCAGCGCCCGACGGTCTGTTCACTGTTCTGAACGGTGGAAAGCTCTAAGCGTAAATTGACCGTGCTGAAGAGTATCTTCAAGTTGAAGTAGCACCAGAATTACACCCGTTGCTGATAATCAAAACACCACGGGCTGTATCAATACACCCGTCTACCGTTTGGCGTCGAAACTGTCCCAGCAGTTTTCCAGTAGTTGATAGACACCATAATTTCTGGCATTCCAGGTGTGATCGCATACTTGGACGACGTGCTGATTGTCGCTGTTTCATCCGAAGGGCTTATTGATCGGATCAATACCGTCTTGATGCGCATTCAGGACAATGGCCTCCGCCTCCGTCCTGAGAAGTGTCAATTCTTCTTGACAACAGTAAAGTGTCTTGGTTTCATCTTTGATGTCTCTGCGGCATTCTTGCCTTCGCTCCCCGGCATTCGACCCCCCACTAAATCACTTGTTTGGAAAGGAAGTCCCAGGGCGCTGATCAGAAGAATGCAAAGGAAGCATTCTGCAGGCTAAAGTCGATGCTCAGTTCCGATGTGCTACTGAACCACTGCGACCCAAAGCTACCCACTGCCGTAGCAGATGATACCTATACTTTTGGAGTCGGTGCCATCATTCTACACGTCTTCCCAGAGGGATCGGAGAACATCATGTAGCGTCGAAATCACTAACGTCAGCAGAAAAGCGATACTGGCAGCTCGCCCGCGTCGCTCAGTTCTAAATCATGTGATAGTTAGACTGTTTTCCGAGCATGACGGTACCCGATGAGCGCACCGGCTAGGTCTACACGACTGGCGGAGAAACGTTCGCAAACAAAATGGCAAGCCCGATGAACAGATCAACAGATACCTGATCTATCAGCAAACTATCCCAAATCCAAAATTCCGGAAAATAATCCAATCAGTGGGCGTAAATACCGTAGATAAAGTTTGTCACCCAAACGGATGCCTCCTGGTCACATCCTAAGTAAATAAAGAAATACTGTTGTAAAGGGGGACCCTAACCTAAAGCTTTCACCTTGTGGTGATGAACAGGTGTCAGTGCTGTAATGGGCGTGCCGACCACTGGTTGGAACTGCACTACTCAAGATACAATGCTAACAAAGTACAAGGCTAACGGGCGTCAGCCGGACGAATAATAGCGAGTCCCCGTATTACGAAGCAGCATGGATCCCAAGTCATACTG